GGAATCATATTTGTAAGCAGCAGGGAAAGAGCTGGTAGATAGGAAGAGATTAAAGTTGAGAGAGAGAGAGAGAGGGGAAGAGAGAGAGAGGAAGAGAGAGAGAAGAAGAAGGAGAGAGAGAGAGAGAGAGGAAGAGAGAGCGAGAGAGAAAGAGAGAGCGAGAGAGAGAGAGAGGAAGAGAGAGAGAAGAAGAAGAAGAGAGAGAGAGAGAGAGGAAGAGAGAGCGAGAGAGAGAGAGAGCGAGAGAGAGAGAGAGAGAGAGAGGGAGAGAGGGAGAGAGGAGGGGGGGCAATGTGCTGGAGAAGCTATGACGGGATGGTATCAAAGGTGCCTGTGGAAAGGTTGGCCTTAGCAAAGAAAAGGGCTACACCTTCATCTGAGACCAAAGTGAAGGAGATAGTAGAAGGAGATCTGTCTGAGTGACTCAAAATGAGGAGGAAAGATTGTCCTTGTTGAATGATCTCCATAGGTGATGGGAAGCTTTTGATGGACTTTCAGCAGGAAGGTGACATGTTTAAGTGAGGTTTTAAATAAAATTTGAAGGTGGTGAGTAGAAGGCATTGGAGAAGAGAAAGATGTGAAGAGGGTAGGGGTGGGAACCTAGTTTATAAATTATTTAGGAATAAGTGGTTGCTAAGGTCATGGAAGAAACTAGTGTTCACCGCGCTAAAAACAAACCCCAAACCCAACAGCCTTTGAACTTGACAAGCATTAAACTAAATGGGCATTTCCATATACACAGTGTAACAGAAGAAGATTGTACATGAAACTGTGGAAATCTTATATACAACTTGTTTTTCTTTCAAATATAATAATAAATTCAACGTGCAACTTTCAGTGTTCTTTCTGGCCTTCTTTTCTTTTCTGTTTGGCTACTTGTCTGAGAAACTTGGTGGTGAAAGGAAGGAGGAAAGTGGGAGGGTAGTTTGAAGAAACTGAGGTCCACATGACTTGCTTAAAGTCACATAGGTGAGGGAGAAGTGATTCACTTGCCCAGGTCCTCTCACTCCGGATCCAACACTCTTTCATTACAACTTGTGTTTATAGACACGATTCAAGACAACAAGTATCTATTGAATGCGTTTTTGTTGTTGTTCAGCCATTTCAGTCGAGTTGGATTTTTCACAACCTCCTTTAGGGTTTTCTTGGCAAAGATACTGGAGTGGTTTGCTATTTCCTTCTCCAGTTCATTTTACAGATGAGGAAACCGAGGCAAACAGGGTTAAGTGACTTGCCCAGGGTCACACAGCTAGTAAGTGTCTAAGGCCTAATTTGAATTCGAGTTTTCCTGACTTCAGGCCCAGCTCTCTATCCACTGTATCACCTAGCTGCCCCTACTACGTGCCTAGTTATGCCAGAGACAAGTGTTAAAAACTGGAGATACAAAAGCCTGCCCCTAGGAAGCTTACATTCTACTGGGGGAGGGAGAAAACAACATGTAAACAGTTCAATAAATATCAATAATAAATTCAATAAATGCAGTTATTTGAAGGAGAGAATTGGTAACAACTAGAAGGGACCAGGAGAAGTTTCTTGTAGGGCCTCACTCTTGATTGGCACCTTGAAGGGAACTCAAGATTACAAAGCATAGAGGTGAGGAAAGAGTGCATTCTAGGTTGAGGGCATGGACAGAAAGTAGATTTTCCTCTACTGTGGACAGCAAGGAAGCCAGCTTGGATGGACCAAAGAGTGTGGAAGGGGAGAGATAGGAAATCAACTGGGAGGCTGGAAGCAGACAATAAAAGGCTTTTAAATGTCAAATAAAGACTTTGTATTTTAGCCCAGAGGCAGTGGACTCCATCAGTCAATTGACAAACATTTATTAAGCATTTCCTATGGGCCAGAGGATACAAAAACAAAGACTCTAACAATCTCTTCTGTCAAAGGAGCTAATGCAAAGCTTTGAATGCCAGGTTAGGGATTGGCTCCAGAATGTCTCTCAAAGTTTTTGAACCAGAAATGGTGGCAGTTGGGTATTTCAGGAAGATTAATTTAGTGGCACTGTGCAAGGCCGAATAATAGGCAAGGAAACTAGTTAGCTATTTGGAGTGGAATGGATTAGAAGGAAAAATCAATAGGAATTAGTGACTGGTTAAATTGGAGGCCTGGGAGAAGGAGATAATATAACTTTGAAGTATCTAGCCTGGAAAACTAGGAGGAGGATGGCAGACATAGGGAAGTTTAGGTGAGAACTTTAATAGTTGTCTGTGATGTATTTCGTTATAAACAGGTTGAGTTTGTGACCAGACACATGAATTTGAAGCCAGAAGGGAATTTGAAGATTATCTTCTAGATCAGGGGTGGGAAACCTGAGGCCTTGAGGTCACATATGGCCCTTAGGTCCTCAAGTACGGCCCTCTGAACAAATCCCATTAATAAAAGGATTTGTTCTGTAAAACTTGGACTCAGTCAAAAGGCCACACTCAAGGACCTAGAAGGCCATATGTGGCCTCAAGGCCACAAGTTCCCAACCCCTATTCTAGATCAACCCCTTAATTTTGCAAATGAAGAAACTGAGGCCCAAGGCAAAGCTGGGTTTTTACTCCAAGTTCAAATTCACTTTTCACTGGATGCAAAGAAATATTCATCATGCAGCTAGAGATTATGGGACAGGAGGTCAGAACTGGGGATTTGGGAGTCATAGCCTCATAGGGTGATAGAGTGAGGGCTGGAAAGGACCTCAGAGGTAGTCCAACCTCCCTCTGGTGGGGGAGGCAAAAGGAGAAAGTGGAACCCTTGAAGATGACAAAAAGAATAACAGAGAGATAAGGGAACCCTGAAAGTTAAGAAAAAGAGAATGGCAGAAAGACGGTGAGGACTAGGTGACTAGGAAATTATCGGTGAAGCTGGAGAAAGCAGTTTAATGAAGGCTAGGGGATGGAGGCAGAAACGGGCTTAGAAAGAGTTCAGGCGCGAGTGGGTGAAGAGGAAGTGGAGGCAGCTTTCACTCCCACTCACACGCTCATTTGTATACTCACTGCATTCCAATTCTCTCTCACACTCATTGAACATTAACGAACAGCTCATTCGAAAGTAGATGTTCCACTGGAAAATCTTCCCTTTCACCCTCCAGCAGCTCAAGCCCCCTGGGGGGGTGGGGGGGGGTGTCATGTGTGTTGTTGTTTGAGGTATCAGAGGGAATTCAGAGATGTGGCAGACGGGAATGAATAAATGAAGAAAAGTATTTATTGAACTCTTACTGTACGCCAGATATTCTGCTAAGTGCTGGGGATACAAATAGAAAATTAGAGAGTCTCCCATGCTCAGTCTAAAGGGTAAGAGAATGTATATTTGCAAGTAGAATGGTAAAGTCCAGTGGTCATTAGGATCCAGGAGTAAGGCGGATGGTAATGCATTTTATGGTCATTTGCATTAATAAAACCACATCTGTTTGCATTAGTAAAACCATACCTGTTTCTGATTTTGAATCATTTGATGGTGCCAAGAACTTTTGTTCCTATCATCACTTGAATGTTGCTATTCATTCATTTCACAAACATTTATTTAGGGCTTGCCATGAATAAGGCACTCTGCTAAACTCTAGGCATACAAAGATAAATGGACACAGATCCTGCTCTCGAAGAACAAGTGGAGAACAGGACATAGAGAGGAGTCTAGTTTTCCTGGACTGTGAAAAGAAGCAATGGAAAAATAAGTTGGAACCTTATTGTGAAGGGCCTCGAATGCCAGGAACAGACATTTATTTTGATTTTGTAGGTGATGGGGAGCATGAGTTGATTGATTTTGAGTAGAGAAGCTGTGAGGAGAGACATGACAATGTTAGAAGGTTTCAAAAGGAAGAAGCCTTGGGCAGCAGAGTGAAGACTAAGATGCAGAGTTCCTTTGTCTGAGCTCTTCTTTTTCTGACCAGATAGATTTTCCCCTAATTTCCGTCTTCTCTTGAATGCTTTTTTTCCTTTTTCTCTTCCTTCTTTCCTTTTCCTTCTTCTTGATAAGATCACAGGATCAGGGATTTAAAGTTGGAAAGGACCTTACAAGCCACGAAGTCTAAGCTTCTCATTTTGCAGATGAGTAAACTGAGGCACAATGCAGTTGGACTGGAGGATTTCCAAGTTCCCTTCTAATAGGATATTATAAGGCATTTATATGTTGGACTTCAAGTTAGAAAGACTGGAATCCAGATCCTGCCTCAGACATTTACTAGTTGTGAGATTAGGCAAGTCACTTAACCTCTGTCGCCTCAGTTTCCTCATCTATCAAATAGGGATCATAATAGCACCGACCTCCAAGAGTTGTGAAGATCAAAAGAAATAATGTTACATGAGGCCCTTTGCAAACCTTAAAGTGCTATACAAATACTAACCATCATCATTATTCTTAATATAAAGTCCTTGCAGGTAAGGAAAACTTCATTTGGGGAACAAGTGGGTGGCTCAGGGGATTGGCCTGGAGTCTGGAACACTCATCTTCCTGAATTCAAATCTGACCTCGGACACTTACTAGCTGTGTGACCCTGGACAAGTCACTGAACCCTGTTTGCCTCAGTTTCCCCATCTGTAAAATGAGCTGGAGAAGGAAATGGCAAACCACTCCGGTGTCTTTGCAAAGAAAACCTAAATGGGGTCATGGAGAATAGTTAGACATGACTGAAATGACTGAACAATCAAAAAAAAAAATTCAGATCCCCCATTCCTTAAATGTAATGGGCCCTTAATAATTGCTACAATTTAGAGATTACAGATTCAGAGCTAGTAGGAAACGCTAGCGGCCATCAAATCCAACCCCTCATTTTATAGATGAGAATACTGAGGGTAGGAGAAGTTAAATAATTTGCCCAGGGTCATACGACCAGCAAGCATCAGGATTTGAAGTCAGGTCTTCTTGGAATGAATGAATGAATGAGTGAATGAATGAATGAATGAATGAATGAATGAATGAATGATTGAAAATTCTTTCCCTTTTCTTTTAGAAGCATAACTATCTTTTCTTTCTACCTTATGGACTAACTAACCTCTCTTATTTTCTTCTTCTTTCTCCAGGACCCAAACCTGACATTGCACACAGACAATCCAGACCTCACCCCCTGCTTCCAGAACTCTCTGCTCGCTTGGGCCCCTTGCATCTACCTCTGGGCCTCCCTGCCCTGTTACCTGCTCTACCTCCGGCGACGAAACCAAGGCTACATCATCCTTTCTGGCCTCTGTAGACTCAAAACGGTCAGTGATTTAGAGAAGGGTGCCCTTGGATAGGGGAAAGTCATCGTCTGGCTGCCGATGTCTTGGAGTGGAAGAGAAATTCTATTCTAGGCCCTAATTTCCATAGTTGCTACGCCAGTGTCTCTAGATCCTCACTACTCTTCCCCCCTCCCTGTCCTGGCCCACAGTAATTGGCAAGATGCCTTTTAAACCCATAGTCAATTGGGAAACTCCCTGTATGAGGAAGCTGAACCAAGTTCCTCAATGCTTCACCCCCAGCCTGGGTCTTCTCAGCCCTATAATTCTCAGGCTTGGATATAGACTTGGTGGTTGATTACTGCCGTATCCTAGTGGATTCTCCTCTGGGTCAGCAGCAGCTCCTAGCATATGGTGGCAGCCTTCCTTTCTTCAACCCCTTTAATCCCAAAGGAAGGTTTCCACTTCCCCAGCTCCCTGCCCCTGTCCCTATCCCTGCCCCTGCCCCGCCTCCACAGTGCCTTCATCTCTTGGTAGGCAGTTGGTGTCCTACTCTGGTGTGTGACATGGGCTGATCTCTTCTACTCCTTCTCTGGCCTGGTGAGGGGCTCCATCCCAGCCCCCATCTACTTTGTGACTCCCCTCATCTTGGGGGTCACCATGGTTAGTGTGGGACTCTGGAAGCTTGGGAGAGGGGAGGCAGGCTGGCTTTGGTGTTCGGGGAAATCTAGTGCCTCTGGAAGGGTGGTAATGACATTGCTAGTGGCAACCTGGGGCAAGATACTCATGACTTTGAAACACTTATACTGGGTATACTTGAGGACCTCTGGGAAGGGAGAAGTGGTGACACCAACACTTATTTACATATTGTTTTTCCTTATAGAATGTAAGCTTCTTGAGGGCAGGACTTTTTCATTTTGTGTGTGTGTGTGTATACATACACATATACACATACACATATACACATATATACATACATACATAATATACACATACATACACATATACACACACATATATATCCAGTGCCTCACACTGACACTTAGTCGGTACCTAATCTGTGCTTGTTGGTTGATTGATCTAGCCCAGAGGCTCCTCCCCTCCCATCTTCCCTTTAACTCCAAAAGAGATTTGGGGGGTCATGGGGATAGGGGGTGATAAGGATGCCCTCTGGCAGCGGGAGATTAACCTACACTGCCACATGCAGTGCCACATGCAGCGGATCCATGTGTCTGTCCTCTCTTTTCCTCCCCTCAGCTCCTGGCCACCCTGCTGATCCAGTATGAACGGCTGCGGGGTGTACGATCCTCTGGCATCCTGATCATCTTCTGGTTCTTGTCTTGTGTCTGTGCCATTGTCCCTTTTCGCTCCAAGATCCTCATTGCCTTGGAAGAGGTATAGTGTGTGTGTAGGGGGATAGGTCATGTCTGAGTTCCCTGGAGGAGTGACCCCTTGGGAACATCACAATGACTCCTCAGTTGGGGACTCCTATTATCACATATGGGCAGCTAAGTGGGACAGTGGACAGAGCACTGGGCTTGGAATCAGGAAGACTGAGTTCAAATCTGGCCTAAGACACTTATTAGCTGTGTGACCCTGGGCAAGTCACTTAACCCTATTTGCCTCAGCTTCCTCATCTGTAAAATGAACTGGAGAAGGAAATGGCAAACCACTCTAATATATTTATCAAGAAAACCTCAAAAGGAGTCATGAAGAGTCAGACATGACTTAAAATGACTGAACATCATCAAATATTCAGGGAGTGGTGAGAAAATAGAGCAGGAGGGACCATCTTTAGAAAGGGAAAGCAAGGTTGGGGCAGGGTCTGGATCTGGGCTCCGACGAGAACAGCCACAGGTATACTCATAGACAATCTCCTTCCTCTTCATAACCTTGCCTGTCCCTAACCCCTTGTCTTCCACAGGGTGAAGTCAAAGACACATTCCGTTTTACTACATTCTATATATACTTTGCCCTTATAGTCTTCTCGCTCATCCTTTCCTGTGCCAAGGATAAGCCACCTTTTTTTTCACCCTCTGTCAATGTGAACCTTGTAAGTGATTGGGAGAGATGGTGTTGAGAGGGAAGATGGAGTTTGGGGAGTTGTACCTTGGGTTCATTGAGTCATTTTCCCCAGTATGCTCTTTCCCTAATGTTTCAGAGGTGTTGGGAGGGAGGTGGAGTTTGGAGAGTTATACCTTGGATTCATTGAGTCATTTTCCCTAGTATGCTCCTTCGCTAGTGGGTCAGAGGGTATGTGGAGGGTTGTGGGGGATAAAGAACTTATCCCTAATCCCTAACTAGAAGGAAGGGAAAGGGTATTAGGCATTGAGTGACCCAAAGGGTAGAGACTATGGGAGTTGGTGGTAGTGGTCACTCCTGCTGTGGGAACAACCTAGACTCCTTTAATTCCTTCCTCATCACCTCCATCTCTGCCTGCTCAAACCCTGGCAGAACTCTTGCCCAGAGGCCAATGCTGGTTTTCTCTCTCGTCTGACCTTCTGGTGGTTCACTAAGTGAGTTGACTTCTCTTGACGTTGGTCTCTTGAGGGTGGGGGCTGGAAACCCAAAGAACTGATGTGGTCTCTTTGGCCTGGGGGCCATATGCTTAATTTGTTCGCAACCTGTCACCCCAAATATAAGATAGAGTCCAGCTCAGGGAACCATGTCTATGACTGGGGCTCACCACCAATCTTCAGCCCCAATCTGCAGGGCTAGCTGCAAACCCTGAACCTGGCTAGAGGTAGCACATGCCCTCAGGTCAGATGTAGAGGGATAATTAGCCTGGCAAGGCCATCGGCAGTGGGTACATTGGCCTTCAACAATCTGGCTGGTTTGTCATCTTCCTTGACTGAGCCTCACAGTCAGATCATCAGGTGGTAATTATGCCTTTGACCCTCGAACTGGTAGCGCATTTTCTCCAGTTCATGGAAAAGAAGCCTGTGCTCCTGACCTAACACACCTTCCATGATCTAACTACCTCTAACCCGGATATGGGGCCCAGGGAAGTGCAGCCAAAGCTTGAATCAGATTGAAAGTTGGCCAGGTTTCCTTGTGTTAGGTGGAGGTGGGGTAAGATAAGGGACCAAGCAAAGGATTGAGGGCTAGATGACCATCCTGTTTCCCTCAGTGACCCTATGACCAGTTCTTGGATAATAGGTCCACCATGAAACCCTTCTCTCCAGAGTCCTGTGCCCACTGAAACCTGAAATACTGTTTTAGGGAACTACCACTAACCAAGGGCAGAATCCCATCTTTCTCCCTGTGAGTGACTCTGTCCCCCTCTGCCCCTTCCCCTTCTCTCTAGGATGGCCATCCTTGGGTACCGACGGCCTCTGGAGGAGAAGGATCTGTGGTCTCTGAATGAAGAAGACTCTTCGAGAGTTTTGGTGCTTCGGCTGCTCAAGGAGTGGGAAAAGCAGAGAGTACAGGCCAAACAGTGAGGAAGCCCTTGCCTCTTGGAGAGTTGAAGTCAATAGCTAACAAACATTTACTGCAAGCATTTATTAAGTGCTTGCTTTGTATGAAGCAGTGCTACGTGTAGGGTAAAAAGGAGGGAAGGGCCGTGATCCTCAGGAAAGTCAGTTGGCTCCTTGGTAGTAGAGCCTGCTTCCATTCCTTCCTTAGGTACCCCTCCCTTAGGAGGCTAGTTGCATTTCTAAAATGCCTATTCCTTCTTAAGCCTGCCCTTTATGGTCATTTGAAATAGAATTTGTTGGCTAGCTCTCCTGAGTAAAAGGTCCCCCCACTCCTCTAAGAATAGTTCCTGCCCCTGAGTCCCCTGAGTCCCCTGAGCCTGGAGTCCTAGTGACCTCATTGGCCACTTCCTTTGACCTCAGGTCAGGGAGGGAGGCTAGACTCTCAATATTCCCTCAGAGAGGAAGGTGAGTCCCAAGAACAGGAAGGCTCTCCACTTCTTCACTGATTTATATTTTACGTCCTGTCTCTGGGCCTCAGCTTCCTCATTTGTGAAAAGAAGTTAATCTCTAAGGATCCCCGGTGCCAGTCTTTAGATACTTGATCTGGAGACAGGAGAGTGGATCCGGTGACTTTCTAGGCCAGGGGCTCTAGCCTTTTTTGTTTCCTGGACTCCTTTAGCAGTTTGATGAAGCCCAGAGACCTCTTCTCAGAATCATGTTTTTAGATAGTTGAAGGAAATAGTGCATTAGAGTTAGAGTTTAGTGAAAAATGAAGATATAATTTTTTTACCATTCAAGTTCACGGATCCCCAGAAATCTATCCATGGAATCCTTGATGGGTATGTTGGGGGTGTGGGGTATCTGTGGATTCCACATTAAGAATTATTGGTTTAGACCAAGATGGCCATCAAAAGGGCAACAAGGAATTCAGGAGTCTGTCCCCTAGATATTTGCCCTGGCCAACTCATCAGGCAAAAGAGATAAGCGTTCATAGACCTCCCCTTCCTCTGGCCCTTTTCAGCCCCAGCACTGCATACGCGTCCTGTCTCCCTGCTCCCATCTGGCTGTGGTTTTCACACTCTTCTTTGTGCCTCCTCCTCCATCCCTCCATCCTCTCCTAGGCCTGGGGCTGGAAGTCTTTTAAACTCAAAACTGCCTTCTGTTGATTGGCTGTTGGCCTAGCCTGAGATACAGGATTGTCAGCAGAATCCCAGCTCCTGTGTTTCTGAGTCTTCTGAACGTCATACCCTGCCTGCACCCCTCCCCCCACCTCCAACAAATGGTCACCCTTCCTGCTTTGCTTCCTCCCACACACCCCCACATCCCCCATCCATCACAACTTCCCCCTTCCCAGCTGCAAATCTGCCTCTTTGGGGCCTCAGCAAATGAGCTGAAACCAGGTCCTCTTATCTTCCCTTGTGATTAAGAAACCATTTAGAATTTGTACTACTGGCGGGCACACAGCAACCTCCCCAGAGCCAGCTGGGTGTGTAGGAAGGGACTGTAGCTAATTCTTCCCCCAACTTTCTTTATCCCATCCCATCTCAGGCCCAGAGAGGTTTAGGAATTGCTGGGAATTTTGGTTTTTCAGTTTGGGGGTAGGGGGAAGAAGGCCAAAATATGAGAGAGTATGGTGGAGATGGAATCTCTATCCCTGATAGATCTGCAGCTGGGGTCCCAAATCCAATTTATTCTTGTACATTGGAGAATTAACAGTCCCATTTTGCCTGGGGAGAGGTCACCTCTGAACAGGACTGCCCCAAATCTGGGTTTGAGAGAAGAACAAGTGCTTTCCTCAATAAAGACCCACCCCCCCCC